TAACAAGTGCCCATAATCTGGAATGAACACCAGTTTACCTTTGTCACCAACCAACTGCAGTGTAGGCTGAACTTTCTGAAGCTGGCTTAAGAAATGGCTGGGAGCAGCATGGAGGATTAGCAGCTTCCTCTGCAGTACAGAACTGACATCCTGCCCAGGACTTGAATGTCATTTGTAAAAAAAAAAGAAAAAAGATGGGCTTTAATTTTAGAAATATGATTTTAGGGCTGCCTTTGGAGTAGCCAACCACGTATGAGAGAAGTAAAGAAACATCCATTGTGACTTGTCCTACATGGGGGCGGGGAAGGAAAAAGGATGTCCTTGAATGTCGGAAAAGTGGACCTCTCTCTTTGAATCAATTTGAATAATCTGCATCTATGGGAAACGATTTGCCCTTAGCAAAAGATAGAGGACAAAAACTACCCCAAAATGCTTTACCAATGCAGTATCAACAATATGCTCCATTTCATTACATAGATGTTTTGAGTGTTCAGAATTTTAGAATATAATCACAATCCCAACAGACTAAATGCAGCATAAGGGAATTTTCTGGAAGAGATTTTCATATAAAAATGTTCATTTAATATAAAAAATTTACCTGGAAGGCAATCTAAAGTCATCATTGGAAAATGAAAAGGTCTAATTCCAAGGTGACAGGGAGCAAATTCCACAATGCACAATGAATGGCCATCACAGAATCTATATATATTAAATGGGTTAATTATGCATTATAAGTAGTGGTTGTAAGCAAGAAATACGGTTTTGGGTCATCTGAGTCCGATCCACTTGTAATATATTTGGGATGCTGGGACTCATTCAAGGGCTCAAAGTGTTTGATCTTGTCCAAATTATTCTTCATTGCAAAACAACCTCCTTCCAGATTGAAGAGTAAGAACTGCTACATCCAAAGTCAATGTACATTAGCAGATGTGACCAAAACTATATTTAAGGTATATACAAAAGTAAGCTGGAATCCATCACAAATAAGTGACATAAAGCACTAGTAAGAGAAGAAGTAATGAACATAAGCTAAATAAAAGTTTAAAAAGGTCTCTTTGTCCAAACTGTAGTCTTGTACAAATTCCCAGGATGCAAGTTAGAAATAATCATATATGATAAAGGACAAGGTTGTTCTTTTCCTAAGTCTAATAAGCTATGTAAGGAACAGAAATGTGATACATGTAAACCGGTGCTTTTCAAACTTGGCAATTCTAAAATGTGTTGACTTTTAACTCCCAGAATGCCCCAGTCAGCATGCCACCTGGGAAATTCTGGGAGTTGAAGTTCACACATCTTAAAGTTGCCAAGTTTGAAAAATACTGATGTAAACCAACATAATAATAAGGCAGTGCTTATCTACAGTCTCCTGTACTGTAGATGAAATTCACACAGCTTGTTTTGTTGCTTCTGACAGGGGAGTTCCCAATTAGATTTGTGAGTCATCAAAAGTTCTTTTTACGCTAAGCCCAGTGGTGGGATTCAGCCAGTTCGCACCACTTCGGCAGAACCGGTAGTTAATTTTTTGTTGCCCAGGCCCAGAATGGACTTCCAGAAGCAGCATTCACACAGAGAACCGGTTGTTCACATATTTGAATCCCATCACTGACTAAGCCAAGAGAGAGTGGGGCAAAGCTGCCAATACCATCACCCGCATCCACCTGGGTCTCCTCCATTGCCAATCAGGAAAACACAGAGCCACCAAAATTGAGCAGAGATGATCAGCAAGGGAGGAGAACTCTACTACAAGACATTTTTACAAGGACCAAATTGGAAAAAAGTTATTCCAGTTAATGACCTCAGTGCACCTATCCTGGAAAAATCTAAGAATGGCAGCAACTATAATTATTCTGGTCCAACTCCACTTCCACCAAATATATGCCTCTTCCAAGTGTTATTCCCAAGCTGCAACCAATGGGAGTATAGATCAGCTGCACCAAGGACTTCTGTGTATGCTACCAGCACTTGGCTCCAAGATGACACTAAACCAACATAATAAATTGCTCATTTGTTCGTAAACTTTTGTCTTCTCCTACTTGGAGCATCCAGCAATCACAGACTTAATAAAACAATATTCTTTTCAGCTATGTTGGTTTTAGGATCAAGAGGACTGTTTTCCTACCACATCATCAATAAAAACTACTACTTTGCTTTTCATTAAGGTATGACTGTAATCTTGGAATCACTTGAACTGGGTAGGAATATTTTCTTTACATGTATGTATGTATGTATGTATGTATGTATGTATGTATGTATGTATGTATGTATGTATGTAAAGAAAATATTCCTACCCAACTTGAGTGATTCCAAGATTACAGTCATATATATAATCACCCATCTACCCAGAAGAACTCTAAGCTGCAAACAAAATTCAGAACATACCATATAAATCCAATTTGTATGCTGTACAAAGCAATATAAACCCTTTTTTCTTTGTGATGCACACAGTAAAGAGCACATTCTATGTAATTAACGTTTGTTTTAAAATGTCCACTCTAGTAATCCAGGCAACCTCAAGCAAGAAGTCCTGTCCACTGCTTAAAAGTGAATACTGAAATGGACAGGCAACCCGTGGAGTTGCCAAAAGCAGAGGAACATGATGCTAAATAAGTTTTGAAAATCTCTTGATCATCATCAGGTTCTGAACCATTTTTAAAGGCAGCTCCATGGAAGATGGATTGCAAAAGTCTAAAGTCTAAAGGAGAAATTAGGAAAGCACTTCTGCTGACTTTTTCTTCACCCAAGGAAGCAAGCGGAAGCCCCAGTTTGCTGCACACCAAATGGGCAAGGTTAGACAAATGGAAGTTGCAGCCGTTTCTTCCTCCTAGCAGTACTGGAGAATGGAAAGACACAGGCCTGGCTGCCACCCTGCAAACTGGCACCCAGCCCCTCTGCGCTTGTTGGCATCTCCCAACTGTTAATTCCAAAATATTACTGAACCATAGGTCACCTCCCACACAGACACTATAGTACACTCAAAAACCAGGAATGCTGCAGGATATCTCCAACGATCCAAAATGTCAAGGTCTTCACAGGCTAAGCCAGAGCAGCCAGATGCAAAATGTTTTTTTGTTTTTTTTAACTTGGATAACTTTGGTTGCAGCTGTGGTTTGGGTGCCATCATGTGGTTCCTTTGTTGACTTTCAAAGGTTTAAAGTAGATGGAAATGATGCCTCCCAAATGCCTTTAAATAGCCCCCTGGTTGCTGTTCACAGAAGGCTTCTCTCTCTGCTGAGCTCCTCTTGCGGACACTGCCCCATTATTTGGAAAGAAGGAAGTTTTTTTCCTTCCCAGTGAAGGGGCTACATGCGATTCCTGACCGAAACCCAATCCTGAAATCCACAGATCACCTTCTGTGCCCAAAAAACCTCCTGCTTCATTCCAAACATACGCAGCCACCACAGATGTGCAAGTCCACACAGAAAGAAGGCCACAGCTGGTAATAGAGGGCCAGTGTCACAAAATCCAACACAAGGAGTTAGAACTCCTCAGTACTGCTCCATTAGACAGGAAGTCAGGAAAAATAGGATTGAGGAGCAACTTCAGGAGGAAGGAACATCTAACACTGTGTTTACAATACATGTTTCTCTTGAGACTGACTCTGAAGTTCAGAGCTTATGGATGGACTATTCTGGTTTAATTATTTGGGAGCATTCTCCCTTATGATTATATTTTAATGGGTGAGTGACATTATTGATGAAACTTTCTAGAGAATTCAATTTGCACATTCCTTTGAGATTATTTAGTTTGGATGCAAGATAGAGGTTACACCCCTCCCCCAAGATATTATCAGAATGAAAAAGGCCTCAAGTGCATGCTATGACTCCCAATAGGCATGAATTAAGATAGGATTAGACTCCAGCTTAATCACAGCAGAACTGATATTGAAAAGCAGAGCTTTCATGTCATTGAGGAAACATTTTAGGCATTTCATGAGCTCTAGATCCACATTTCAGAAACTGAGTGTCATAAATGTCTGGATCACATGGAAAAACAAATCGGAAATATTGGAAAACCACAAGAAGGCCCTTCCCAAACAGGTTACCAAAGAAATGGAAATTGCTTATACAACACCAGTTATTTACGAAGTCATCTACTGTGGAATTTGGCTGGCATAATACTATTGTATTTTATCATTCTAAGTTGCAAAAAGAGAATAAATACAGGTAGTCCTTGACGTATGACAATTGAGCGCAACATTTCTGTTGCTAAGGGAAAATTAATTGAGTTTTGCTCCATTTTAAGACCTTTCTTGCCAGTTGTTAAGTGAATCACTGCAGTTGTTAAACTAGTAACACAATTGTTAAGTGAATCTGGTTTCCTTTTGCTTGTCAAAAGGTCACAGAAGCTGATCACATGACCACAAGGCATTGCAACCGTCATAAATATGAGTCAGTTGCCAAGCATCTGAGTTTTGATCACGTAACCATGGGGATGCTGCAACGATTGTTAAGTGTGAAAAATGGTCATAAGTCACATTTTTCAGTGCCGTTGTAACTTCTAACGGTCACTAAATGAACTGTTGTAAGTCAAGGACTACCTGTATGCAAGAATTATGCTGTACAAATGAAAATATAAGTGTTCAACCTCCAGTTGGGGAGCAACAACAATATAATATTAAAGCAAAAAGGCAAAGGCATAATCTTTTCATCAAGTATCCATGGAATTTGTATTATCTCAGGCTGCATACTGTAACATTACATACGCATTAAAAAAAAGATTTCTCCAGTAATATTGCTGAGACTTACAAATGAATAATGTCTCTGCAATATGCCAGTAATAATGTAGAATAAGAAAATTATCAACTCTTGATAATTTTTATGTGTGTCATAAAGTTTATTTGTTTTTTTTTAATTTGTATCCCTTCTTTATTATTTTTAAAAATAATTTAAAGCGGCAAACATTTCTAATAAACCTTCTTCCTTCTATTTCCCCCACAACAACAGTCCTGTGAGGTAGGTTGGGCTGAGAGGGGGACTGGCCCAATGTCACCCAGCTGGTTTTCATGGCAGAACAGATTCTTTCTGAATCCAACCAGCAGTTGTAAAGAAGGAGACACTTTGCCCTGAAACGAAAAGAAAGGCAGAGTGTGTAAAATAGTGATTGAAATCTATTCCAGTTCCATCCTTCATTCATCCTACTTCTTCATATACACTTGTAGAACAAAACTGGAGAACCTACACATTTCCAGCTGTTATTAATTCCTGCTTCCGTCAGCCACACTGCTGGCCTAAAGTCAGAATTAAACCTTGTTGTAGTCCAAACTACAGTCCCTTCTAGAAACGTGAATTTCAAAATTTCCTGTTAGCAATTGGGGAACACTGTTACACTCAACATGATCTGTTAGGTCAGAGAGATTCCACCCAGAAGAGCATCTATATATGTTTTCCCCACACACAAAGCAATGGGTATTGCCTAACATTATTTATGGGTCTCAATATCTAGTGGCATAGTAGACCTTAGCTAAGCAGGGTTCTTGCTATGCATTTTTTTTTCTAGGAGCTCTGGAACAGCAGCTGGAACTCAAGGAATTCCGTCAAAACCTAAAGTTCTCAAGGGCTGCCAGTTATAATTGTTTAGCTAGGTTTAATTTGACTGGATTCCCACATGGAAAATCCAGAGAAGACAGAGCTATGTCTTATGAAAAGAGGGGAAATCATCAGAGAAATTGTGTCACAGGTTAGTGTGGCATTCATTTATCAGATTCTTCAGCTGTCCTGAGCAAGTCACTACACATCCTCTTATACAGATTTTGATTTTCACCTATAGGGGTTGATCTTAGTTTTTGGCTGGCTATGGGTCTAGACTGGTTCAGTTCCAGCTTTAACAAATATGAATGCCCGGAGGCCATGCTGAGTGCTAGTCCAGTAGTGCTAGTGATACAAAGTTCTTAAATCATAAGTGGCAGTGTGGGCTGTTCGTATTATAGCAAACAATGTAACACCTTCTTTTAAGGACAGATGCTCTCCTGTTCCAGCCAGTACCACCTCCAGAGCAGATAAGTGTAAATTAGAGGAAGACTGGGTCATTTTGATGGTGGTTTTCTCTTTGGTGAGGGTGAAATTCAGCTTGCTTCCTAAGTAGCAGATTCCAGTAATGTTCAGCTGCTTTATGTCATCAGGATAAACAGGGCCAAACTTCAGGCAGCTTCTGGAGATCCTAGGAAGAGCAGAAAGAACTTGGTGGCTAGAACAGCGAATGCCAGACATTATCATAAGCCTTGAAAGGGGGTACAGATATGTCACCCAGGCTGTCATTCGAGATTACCATTGTTTCCCGAACAAGGGATTT